CATCTCATTAAGTTAAATGACAACCGGGTTTGGGGCTTTTAAACAAAGAGTGGTTTAAATTCACCATATGCTTAAGTGTGTCGTGCATGCCATAAGTGTCGTGCATGTGTCATAAGTGTGACGTGCGTGTGCCGTGTACATGCTATGCATATTCCAACACAAACATAAAAAAAACGTGGATTTCAATTAAAAAAGCATCACAACCCCAATTGACATAAGTACCGACACTACAAAAAAAAATGGATTTTTGCCACGAAAATTTGGGACGAAAAAATTTTCGTTGCAAATTTGCGACAAATTTTCCAACGAAAAAATTTTCGTTGCAAATTTGCGACAAATTTTCCAACGAAAAATTTTTCGTCGCAAAATTCGTTGGAAATTTCCAACGAAAAAATTTTCGTCGCAAAGTTTGTTGGAAATTTCCAACGAAAAAAAATTCGTTGGAAATTTTCAACAAATTTTGTGACGAATTCAAAAAAACCCGGTATTGTTCGGCATTTTTTATATTTGTTGGAAATTTCCAACGAATTTTCCAACGAATTTCCATTTTCCGGGCCATTATTTCAGTGTGTACAATTTTCGTTGGAAATTTCCCACGAATTTTGCAACGAAAACCCTACTTGTTCCTTATTCAATATTTTCGCGCTCGTTATTCCCACAACTTTCAATTTCCACATTCACTCTCTCTCTCTCTCTCCTTCGCCTTCACCTTCTCCCTCCGTCTCCCCCTCCGCCTCCCCCTCCGCCTCCTCCCCCGCCGCCCCCCCTCCTCCTCCGGCTCTGGCGCCATGGACACCAAGCCTCCAAGCCTCCGACGCCCCCGACGGCCCCGACGCCCCTACGTCACCAAGCCTCGTCGCCGGCGAGGGCCGAGCTCGCCCGGATTTGGGCGAGCTCGAGCTCGCCGGCCATGGCGAGCTCGGCCCTCGCCATGGCCGGCGAGGCTAGGAGACGACGATGGACTTGACGGGCGCGCAGCCCGGCTGCTCCCGCCTGCTTCGCTTGCTGCGCTTCTTCTTCATCTTCGGCCATGGCGAGGCCGAGCTCGCCATGGCCGGCGAGCTCGGCCCTCGCCCGATGACGAGGCTTGCCCTCGCCGGCCATGGGGAGGGCCGAGGTCCCCATGGCCGGCGAGCTCGGCCGTCGCCGGCGACAAGGCGGGCCCTCGTCGGCCATGGCGAGGGCCGAGCTCGCCATGGCCGGAGAGCTCGAGCTCGCCCAGATTTAGGCGAGCTCGGCCCTCGCCGGCGACGAGGCTGGCCCTCGCCGGCGGCGAGGGCTATTTTTCGATCCAAAAAAAAAAATTTCGACCAAAAAAAAATTCTTTTTCGATGGAAAAAAAATTTCCACGATTTTTAACTCGGCCAAAAAAAAATTTGTAATTTCCAACGAAAAAAATTCGTCGGAAAAAAAAATTCGTTTCCAACGAATTTAGCCACGAGTTTTCCAACGAAAAAAAATTTATCGCAAATTTCCAACGAAAATTGAAATTTTTCGTTGGAAAAATTTGCGACGACTTATTACCAACGAATTTTTTTTCGTTGGAAAATTCATTGGAAATTCGTTTTCCAACGAATTTTTCCAAATTTTTCGTTGGAAATTTCGTCGGAAAAAACATGTTTTTTTGTAGTGCGATAAGTCATGATTACTTTTTGTTTGTATAGATTGACTTCGAAGTTAGCAACTACCGCCACCGCCTCCGCCGCCGCCACAACCTCCACCGCCGCCGCCGCCGCCGCAACCTCCGCCGCCACCCCCACTTCCACCACAGCCACCATCCCCATTTCCACCATAGCCACTGCTGCCGCCGCCACAATTAGCCCTGCTAAAATCACCACTAGCCAAGTAAGAAACACCAGCTCTGGCAAGATTGCCCCCTCTGCCGCCACCACTACGACCCTTCTTTTCGCGAGGTTCCTGCTCGCTTTTGCCGCATGCGAATATGATCATGGAGATGAATGCTAGGGAAAATGCAACCACGCAAAGCCATGTCAACTCCAGTTGGCTTCCATGGCCATTAGTAGCATTAACAAGAGGAAACACCTCTCTAGCCATTTTCTCTAGTCTCTCACCTCCCACACACGCACAATGTGTGCTTTTATGTACACAAATCCCCTCCTCTGATCTTGTCATTAATTAAGTCCAGGACTCCCTTGCTAAAGATGGAGCACTGTAATGAAGTATATTTATGGAGATTAAAGATTTTCCTAGAATATTGTTAGAGATATTATTAAATATTATGGATATGATTTGATATTTCGTTATTCTCTAATTTTATTTCCTATGCATATTATTCGTGTATAGATATCATCCTCTAATAACGTGTTAAGCTAAGCCAATTAAGTAAAGATATAACCTTCATTGATTCTCATTCCCTCTCTTTTGAAGATCCTAGAATATTTGTAGTGGGAAGTGCAGTGCTTCCTTATATTGCCTATTGGTGAAGGATCTTCGAAATTGCTTCTAATCAAACTTCAAATTCTTTGCAAAAGAAAAAGAAAATAAATTTCCAAGCGGTAACATTGAACTCGTCATCGCATCCATATGGAAAGAGTCGAGCAAATGCCTACGTTGATGGTCATTCGACATTGATAAATTTCATACTTTTATTATGCTAAAAGCGAGCATATGACGGTGAGATACTATTTTTACATGTAATTGCTAACTTCAATTATGGAGCTTCATTGCTTAATATCGAATCTGGTAAATTACTGTACTAAAAGCGGCCTACATTGGTAAATTACTTATCTGATGCGGTTTGGTCATTATTGCTCTGAGCCATAGTAAAAGACGCTAATGTTTTTAGTCATGACCTATTCACATCAATATCCATGCAAAATACCTATGTTTATACGTAAAATTGGTGATTGTAAATGCATGAACCATGCTTTGTTGATCTTGCTGAATCTTCTTCTGCAGAGGATTCATTTGCTTTAGTTCTTCATAAGACCCCAAAAAACAAAAATAATGTAAAGAAATGAAAGGGGTTGTGGCCGAGAGCTGTTTTTAATAGAGACACCAAGCTTTTGCTCGGAACTTTCATAAATCTTCAACAAATTTCTTCTAGTTAAGGTAATGAAGATGGAGAACGAGATGGGAATGTTGCTCATGGCAACTTCTTGCATTTGAGGTGAACTTAGCAAGCTCTTAGTCTAACTTTACATGTCATTTTTTGACTTCAAGATTAAAATGTTGTCTCTTGAATTTATGTGTTAGGTTGTGAAAATTTGAGGTGAGAGTTGAACTCATAAGACATTTAAGAGCAATTAGAACACTGCCTTTGGTTGGTGGCAATTCTCGAGAGACACAAAGGAGAAAGAGGGGGAAAAAAAGGGAGAACGTCATTCTTCACCGAAGGGGAAATGACTTCCTGCCTATTTGCAAACCATAATGTCAAACACTTATACCTCAAGTCACAAAATCTAAACTTTCATAAACATTCTCAACTGTTGGATTTTCTAATTCCCTTGGTTAAAATGACATCGCGCCAAAAATCTAAACATTGCAAGTTTCCAATTCTCAATTGAATTAGTCTTTGGGCAACTTCAAATATCAACGTCCAAGAAATATAAAACTATTGTCAATGGGGGATATCCGGATAATCAATGTCAGTGGTTGAAGACTAATCACTAAAGCTTCCTTATTTTGAGACATTACACATCACGAGATTTGGCTTATACGAAACAATGCTCAAAAAGCACGTCATCTTTGTCCAGGAGTGAGAATCGAAGTGGCAATCAAACCAAAGATATAACTTATATAAGCTCAGCATCTTTACACAATGTATAGTGTGAAGATGGCCTGAAAAGCACATCAGGAAACCCCCAAGGTTGCCAACAAGTCAGTTGCACATGATAGGTCACATGATATCGACAAAGGAGAAGCGCTAATTTACAATGGAAGACACGAGCTTCACTAGGAATCGAAGATAAAAGAGACAAAGGGCTAATAAAAAAATCATTTCTCTATCCCTTTCTGTAGATACTGTATTTGGTGATATCCCGCAGTAGTCTATTTGTTATACACGTCTGTGCAAATGCGGACCACGAAATTAGCTGCCTCACGCTCGCTCATTTCAGGATAAAATCTCCTTCGCAGATTGCCAATCGGGCCACCCCGGCTCAAAAAGGCAAGATAGCCCTTCACACACAATCTAAAAGAAAGAAGACAAATGTCAAGTTTTGATATGATGACTGATTAATAAACAAGGGAATTCATTAAGCTAACTACAAGCATAGTAAACACGGGGAGCCCTCGTCACTTGACCAAAGTAAAAAAGGTATGAGACAGTAAAAGTTCCAATAATAATAGATTATGGTTTTTTTTTTTGGTCGATAAATACTTCTTTCATTACTAAAAAGTAAGTTTACCATAGCATGGTCCCATGTCATTACATAACAACGAAAATAGAGAAATGGGGATAGTAGACAGCCAGTTCATAGGTAATGAATCGTTCCGGTGGGCTTTCGCTACCCAATTTGCAGCCCGGTTTTCTTCTCTCAAACAAGAAGTTATTGAGACACCCTCTAAGCAGCCCAAGAGGTTTGTGCAATCTTTGATTAATGTTTGGATGGCCCATGGAGCTTCAGCCCGACCTGTGATGTATCTCTCCAGCAAAGTACAGTCTGACTCAATCTTCACTAGATTTCTTCGTTCCATCAGTACGTTTCCTTTGTTCAGTACCCTGGGCAAAGCTTCCCTCTGACTTTTCATGAACAGCAGACCCTGTCTCAAGGCTAGGGTTTCGGCGATGAGGGCAGACGGAGCGACGACTTTCTTCGTGAAGCCTCCCACCAGCTGCCCGAGATGGTCTCTGTAGATTCCAGCTACTGCTCCTTGCCGCGATTCACTGCACCACGATCCATCGACGTTCAATTTCCACGAGCCCGATGGAGGTGGTGACCATCCCTCAATTGCTAAGCCTCTCTCTTCACTTTCCCTCTGTTTCCCCTCCTTTTGGTTCCAGTGTTCATATAGATTGAGGTCGTTAATTGCTTCAGTTATTACTCCTCGTGGTTGTGGTTTACTGTTCCGGAAAACCTTCGCGTTCCGTTCTTTCCAGATGAGCCAGAGCACTCCAGCTAGAATTCCACCCGATTTTGACCCTACTTGGGAAGGTAGGTTCTCTGCGAGCCATTTATCCATTCAAGTGACTGCTTCCGTTGATGTCTTCAGCTTAATGTTTGAATCTAACCATATTTCCCTTGTCCAGTCACACAGAAGGAGGAGATGTTCGAGCGTTTCAGGAGCCTTCTTACACATCGGACACAATGGATCAGGTATGAGTCTTCTCTTGTAAAGGTTTTCCTTCGTTGGAAGAGCGTTGTTGCATACACTCCATAGGAAGAAGCGAATTTTCGGGTAGTGCTGAATCTGCCATATGCGAGTCCATAGGTTCTTAGGAGGCTGATACGATGTTGATGCCAGGTTGGCGATAAATTTTTTTGACTGGGAGCACATTCTGTTGTAGTCACTTTTGACCGAGTATAAGCCCGTGCTGTTACCTGTCCACACTTGACTGTCCCTATGTGAATCGATGCTTAGCGGGATGGCGAGGATCTCTTGGACTATCCTTTGCTCAAAAAGTTCATTTAGCTTCACTAGGTTCCAGTCTTGAGTCACTGGTTCAATTAGTTCCTCTACGTATTTACGGTCATGTTGATTCGCCGGGCCACCGATGCGGCCACTAGGTAGCCAAAGGTCCTCCCTGATTCGGATACTTTTGCCGTCTCCCACTCTCCATCTCACATCCGATTCAATTACCTCTCTCCCAGGTAATATGCTTTGCCACCCCCATGAAGGGCGGCTGCCCCTTCCAGCATGCCATAATTCACCCTGTAGATAATATATTCCCTTCATAACTTGGCTCCATAGGTTTTGAGGTGCTTGTATTAGTCTCCACGCTTGTCTCCCTAGCATCGCCTTATTGAACTCCACTAAGTCCCTGAATCCTAGTCCTCCTTCATCTTTCCTTGTTTTCAATGACTCCCATTTCCTCCAGTGGATTCCTTTACGCTCAACATTTTGTTTCCACCAGAAACAGGCGATTCTTCTCTCAATTGATTTGCAAATTGAAACCGGAATTTTGAAAACGGACATCGCATACTGTGGAAGTGCCTGGACCACTGTCTTGATGAGGATCTCCTTTCCGGCTTTAGAAATCAGTTTCTCTTTCCAACCCTCCAGCTTCGAGTTGACACGCGCTAAGACCCAAGCAAACATCTGTTTCTTTGATTGTCCCCAGTCGGAAGGAATTCCCAAGTATTTACCTGTTTTGTCAATAATAGGGACTCGTAGCTCATCCGCCATCCTCTCCTTTAATAGCAGCGGACAGTTTGGCCCAAAGAAGATGCCCGATTTGTTTAGATTTATTGCCTGCCCCGAAGCATAGCAGTATTGGTTTAAAATATTGGACAGGCTTTGGCATTCTTTGATTGTGCCATCAAGGAAGAAGATTGCATCATCCGCGAAAAGTAGATGGGAGTCCGTAGGGCACCATCTATTTAGTTTGATTCCTCGTAGGCTGCCATTTGAAATTGCCCTGTTCATAAGTGAAGATAATACATTAGCCATTATGATAAAGAGATATGGTGATAGTGGGTCTCCCTGTCTTATCCCTCGGGATGGCTGAAATTGTTGGAGTGGTTCTCCATTCATTTTCACACTGAAAGTCACCGTAGAGATACATTGTTTTACCCGTTGTACCCACTCTTCGCAGAATCCCATTGTCCTCATGCAGTCACATAGGAAGTCCCATTCGACTCTATCGTAGGCCTTTTGCATATCAAGTTTGAGAACCGCCTGGACTTTCTTTTCTCTCTTTCGAATTCGGAGTTGGTGTAGCATCTCCTGGACGATCAGGATATTATCCTGTATTTGTCTGCCACCCACAAAAGCACTTTGTTCTATCGCAATAATCTCAGGGAGCCATGGTTTGAGACGATTGACCATAACTTTTGCAATGATCTTGTAACTGAAGTTGCACAAGCTTATTGGCCTGAATTGTGAAATGTTCTCCGGGCTGGCTATTTTTGGAATTAATACAATTTGGGTCAAGTTAAGGGAGGGGTCGAAAGTGCCTGTAGTGAAGAAGCCGTCCACCATGTCGACTACATCTTGCTGGATTTCAGACCAGTATTGATGATAGAAAAGCCCGTTTAGACCATCCGGACCAGGTGCCTTAGTTGCTCCCATTTGAAACACTGCTTCTTGCACTTCCTCTTTTGTCACCTTTTTCATTAAGGCCATGTTCATCTCATCATGGATAAGGTTGGGACATTGATCAAGCACCGGTTGGTAGTTTCTGGGCCCCACAGTTGTGTATAAGGAGCGGTAGAATTGCCCAATGTGCTGCTTTAAGACTTCAGGGTCACGACACCACTGATTTTCTTCTATTCTCAGCATTGATATTCGGTTACGTATTCTTCTTTGTATCGTTGTGGCATGAAAATATTTGGTATTTTTCCCCCCACTTTAGCCAATTTATCCGGGATCTCATGCTCCAGTACATCTCTTCTTGCCTCCATAAACTCTCTATGCGTTCTCTGAGTTGCTGCGATTCCTCCCTAAAGCCAGACCCACTAGGGTTATTTGTTATCTCGGTTAGTCTCTTCATTAAGCACTCAACTTGCTTGCGAGCATTGGAAAATTTTCTTTTACTCCAAGTCCCCAATGCACTAGCCACCTTCCTCGATTTCCCCCCTAGGTCTCCATGGGGGCAGGACCTATCATGCCAAGCCTTTCTAACCACCTCCTTACATTCCGAGTCTTCTACCCAAAAAGCCTCAAACCGAAAATCCTTTTTCCTCTTGTTGTTATTTGGGTGCATTGTTATAAGTAACGGACTATGATCAGAACCTATGGCCGGTAAAGCATAGGCCTCTGCACTTGGGAATTCTACTCGCCATTCTAAGTTGCAAACTGCCCTATCCAGTCGTTCTCTCACCAATGCATCCCCTTCTCTATTGTTTGACCATGTATATGCGCATCCCTTGCTTTCCATATTCATTAAAGAACAATCGTCCATCATTTCTCGAAAGGCCACCATTCTATGATTCTCAGCCCCTCGTCCACCAGCCTTTTCCCAGTAATAACGGACCTCATTAAAATCACCCATACAAATCCATGGAAGAGTGTTATTGCGATGAATAGCCCGTAACTTATGCCATAATTGTAATCGTTCCTGGAACTCAGTAGATGCATGAAGAAATGATATTCTTTTTCGGATTCCGCAAGTGGGGTCCCTACATGTTATGTCAATCAATTCCTTCGAGTAGTCCTGTATTTCCACCGATATCTCCTCTTCCCACATAAGAGCCAAACCCCCTGCTATGCCAATAGGATCAATAATAACTGCTTTGCTGAACTGGAGTTGCTGTTTCAACCTATCCACTATTGTTCTTTTATTCTTGGTTTCCATGAGGAACACCAAATTGGGCCTATCAAGAGCCATTAAGGCTCGGAGGTGCTGGAACGTCGGGGTAGAGCCCAGTCCCCGACAGTTCCAGCTCAATACTTTCATCTATCCTCGGTGGCTTATTGGGCTAACCACCAAAGCCCATTCTTGGGTTCCCACATCAACCTGAATCGGAGCATCAAGGAGAAGTGTCTCATCAATCGCCTTCGCGTCTATCCTCCGTAGATTCAGTTGTTTCGCCTTCTTGATTTTCTTGGTTGCTGAGGGAATACGGCCTTTCCGACCCTTCTTATATGAGGTGGATGTACCTCTTGAATAAGCTACCAACCCTGGTGATTCTAATAGTAGAGGCTGGGTATCTTTAGCACTTTTACCTTTTTCTGTTGTCAACTCCACAATTATCCCTTTTTGTAACGACCCGGTCCGACGAGGGCGGGGAGTGGTCGCCGGGGCCAAAGGGCCTGGACAAGGAGCGGCTCCTGGCAGGCTTCTAGGATGGCAAGGGGGGCATCTCTCTGTCCCACATCGCTTAGGGGGGGAGTCCTGGGGTTGCTTATAAGGCCTGGGTGGCCTATCCTGTGTAACGCATTTTAAAGCCGTGAGGGTCAGTGGGCCCAAAGCGGACAATATTACACAGTGTAGACCCCGGGTCCTTACAAATGGTATCGAGCCGACTCCCGATCGTGTGGGGCCACGGCGAGGACGCCGTGCTCGAAGGAGGGAGAATGTAACGACCCGATCCGACGAGGCGGGAGTGGTCGCCGGGGCAGGGCCCGGACAAGGAGAGGCTCCTGCGAGCTTCTAGGATGGCAAGGGGGCATCTCTTTGTCCCACATCGCTTAGGGGGAGTCCTGGGGTTGCTTATAAGGCCCGGGTGGCCTATCCCGTGTAACGCGTTTTAAAACCGTGAGGACTTAGTGTCCAAAGCGGACAATATTACACAAGGAGTGGCGCAGCGGAAGCGTGGTGGGGCCGAGGTCCTTACACTTTTCCTTTTGCTTTGGAGAATTTCGACAGTTGACAATCCATAGGGTTTACCCTTTGCATACCATAGTCTTCAGTAGGGGTTGGGATCTCCCTGTTTACATCCAATATTGGTGTTTCTGGGGCTGTTTCCTCCTCCTCTAGTATATCTACTTCCTCATTGTATAACTTCCAGAACGGGCTATTTTCCCTTGCTTCCGCTTTCAACCAATAACCAAAGTTCCCGCATCCCTCTTCCCCTGGTCTTGGTTCTTTATAGGGAATTTCCTCGCAGTTTGTGACGTAATGACCTATCCTTCCGCAAGAATAGCAGTAGTAGGGAAGCCGTTCGTACTTAAAATCTACCCACACTTGATCACCATCATCAAAATTTACAATAGCTCCTAGCCATAAAGGACTGGCTAGTTCTAAAAGCACTCGCGCTCTACCCACCTTGCATGGGCTTTCCTCTTTGTTATCAATTCTCAGCTCCACCACCTTGCCTATCTTTCCTACCACCTCCATCATAGTTTTTTCCATGATGCGCCGGTAGTCCATGCACTTGCACCCAGAATTCACAGTGGGTAAAGACATGTCGATGTATAGGTAACTTAGGTTGAAGTTTTTGTAGTATAAGCAAGTTGCCGGAGAAGCACCATGGGCTAGCTTCGAGCACTTTGTCCAAATCCACTTCTGTTTTGAATGTGAACGATAAGATACTCGATTGTAGTGGTTCGCACACCACATGTTCCGTTTTTCATGCCTTCTTCATTGTGGATAAGAGGGCCTGCAAGTTCACAGTAGGCCTCGAGTAGATTTTCCCCAGCAAAATCCGATTACAAGCTCTCCATTTCTCCTCAGGAATTTCTTCAAACACGTTAGCTACGAACTTTTCAGACCACATTTGCCCCATTCTTTTGCACAGCATCGCCATCCTACGCTCCTTTTCTAACTCCTTTTCCATTCTTGTGTTAATATGCAGCTGTTTCGCACTCATTACCGCCCTTCAAGACACCAGCTCAGCCAAGAAGAAGACACACTAGCACAGCCAAAGGAGAGGCCCAAGATCCCTGCAACTGACCTGGATGGGTTGGTTCAGTAGATTTCGCCAGCTTGCGGTATAATCCTGCTACCAAACACGTTGTTTTTAGTGCGATCTGGACTCTACAGGATGAAGGGAGCTCTCGCTTTCCAAATGCAAGTTGAGTGGAGGAGAGGGCAGAATCCACAGGGTTTTACGTAATTTGTGGGTTCCTAAGAAGTAGGTTGAGTAAATGCTGTGTGTGAGACGGGTTGCTACTGATCTATGAGGATTTTTGTTCTGTTTTCTAGAGGTTTTAGTTTTTGGGTGGGGGATGGGGTCGTAGAGTTGGGGAAGAAGGACATGGAGTTCTTCTCTTAGAGATGGGTGTTTGTAGGAGTGGTATTAGGGTTTCTTGAGGTGAGAGTGGTACAGGAAGAGACCAGATTCACGGGGTCTCTTCATTGGAAAGGAAAAGGTAAGTCTTTTAGGGTTTCTTGAGGATTGCTATCACCATGGATAGAGGAAAACTCTTACCAGACAGAGAGAATCGTGCAATTCATAATAGATTATGGTTGACATTTTGTTTTTTGTTGCATCAACTTTTAAGTATAACACATATACGTCAACCCAAACAAAAGGGAGAAGCAAGAAATATAGAATCCCACTTTACTACCTAGGGCTAGAAATTAGGTGGAAGAATGAACCTTTGAGCGTTAGGGTTTCACACTAGTACGGTCCCTTTCAAGAGTAAAGATCTTGATATACGTATTAGCAGTTACATCGTCATCGCATACCTAAGCTAAAGATCTAAAATCCATCCATGTCTAAGTATTAGGCCTCCTACCCAATCCCGAAAACACATAGACTGCGTATACGCTTTAGTGTGGTGTCGAATGACTTTACCGCTTATTGGTCTTTGATTTCTCTGTCATCAGTCTTTTTCTTTTACATAAACCATATCCATCTGAACCAAAATCAATCGTAACAGTGACCCCACTTCCCTGCCTCAAGCCTTGCTATGTGCGT